TATCATGCTAGAGATTTGCCTTTTATTTTGCTGAGTTCATTGTAATAGATCACATTCATTGTCCCTTTGGGGGTATTTTCAGTACTTGAATAGTAGATTCGAGTTTTTCAGAGTATTTGTTTCATCTGCTAGCTTCTTTTCTCTCTTTGTAGCTTTCTTTTTCCTTGACTTGCTCCTTTTGAGTTGCTTTGAGAAGTTTTTCTTAGGCCTAAATTTGAGGCAAGTTTGATAGAAATTATGTAGCTCCTTATATTGGCAAAGGAGCTTGATATGGTTTAACTTTGTATAGAAGTTAGAACCAGCTATTGTACATGTAATATTTCAGTTCAGAATTTGAACTGGGGGAAGGGAAGAAAAGTATGTGATTTTTACCTTTTTTAACAAATGTGAAAGTCAGTTTTAGAAATTTCATGGTAGTGAAATGTTTGGCATTTGTTACATGTATAGAGAGAAGACTAATAATCTATATTTATAACTAAATCATTGAGACAGAAAAAGAATCCCATTGACTCTCCATCTTTACAGTTGTTTCCTTTTTGACTGTTTCCTCTTCAGCTATGGCTTCTGGAATCAGAGTGATTTGTTCTTGTTCCAACTTTTGTTAGTGCCGCTACTTTCCCCTTCCCCTATTTCCCCTTCCCCTATTTCCCCTTCATTTTGGAAATAAGTTTCTGTATATGTTGTAATTTTAGTTTGTTTTTTTAATTAACCCTCTGTCACCCTACTGCCCCCCCCCCCATGGTAAATACTGTAATAACCATTGACTTTTCAAATTAAGATTAACTCTTTTTTTCAGTTTAAAGGAGAAAAATATTTGGAGCTAGTAGAGACAAAGTGAGAGACTTGAACCTTGGTGAGCTCTAAAATAACTAGCTGAGATTATATTGATGAAAGAGAATTGTCAGTACATAGAGATGGAACTACTGACCAGTAAACTACAGATTTGTTATAAACATTGTTCCCAAACCATTACCAACATTGTACTATCTGAGAACTTAAGTGATAAAGTACTTCTTGATAAATTCATGGATCATTTAAGATGTTGAGTTACTTTGGATTTTTTTCAAATAAGGAAATAATATTCATGTAAAAAACTGGAGAAAGGAAGAAAAATGAAATGTTCTTGTTGATAGCAATACCTTTTTTTTTAATTTTAAAGATTTTAAAAGGTCTGTGACCTGTAGCATTAATTATTAGAGTGCCCTCTCTCCCTTCTCCCCTCTCTGTCTCTTCTTCCTCTCCTCTTCCTCTCATTTTTTTTTCAATTGTTTTGCATTTGGATGCAGTATTGTCCCTTCTGGCATGCCAAGAGCCACATAAAAGAGAAACATCTGTGATTTGGTTCTGGAACATGGGAATGTTCCTACCATTCTCCTGATTAAGTTCATACCTACTTGCCATTGTGTAATAGTACAAATCATGAATAAAAATGATTTTGATGTTTTGGAGTACATTAGGGGGGAACTAATACCATTTTATTTCCTATCATTTCCATCATCTGTGTATAAGATATAGGTATAAGGATAGAAATGGCTGTTCTTTATTGATAGCACAGGAAGGTTTTTTTTAAAAAAAGATAAAATAGTTTATGAGACTTTTATCTAGAGCACTTAATGGTCTCTGCTTTTAATTTGATTTTTGATTTCATATTTCTCTGGATTATATTGGCCTTCTATAGTTACTATTAAATTACAGAAACAAGCCAGTTTACTTCTGGTGGAAAGCTACATTGCCTTTGAATTCCAGATTTGAACATTCTTTGTAAATAGTCTGGATGGATTATGGTGAAGAAGATGCTACCAATGAAAACCAACTCGATGAGACTGATCATCATGACCACTCTAGATGGCACTTCCACACATAAGTCGTAAAGACCATATTCATTGAATACAGTGCCAATGCCCCATTTTTATTCCGATGACTCAACAAAGGTCTTTTCAATTTATAGGAGCAGTTTGGGATTTGTATTTTACAACTTTTGATGGTTACCTGCATGTCCATTGCTGGCAACGGACTTTGTCATTAAAACCTGACTCCTAGGTTAAGGGAGCTACACTGTGGTTTATTCTTTACTTACTTGGATAAACTAACTTGTAATAGAAATATACTTTGGTTAATTTTGAAATGTGTCATTTTTAAACAGAATAATCTTAAAAGCAATATGGAATTGTGATTTATTAGTTATAAATTAAAATGTTTAGATCTTGTTGAAAGAAAAATTATATCTGAATCAAGGTTCATGTTTTCTAAATACTGCCTTTTGTTCTCAACCATTTTGTCATCACTTTAGAAAGAAAATTCCCATCAAAATCTAAAAGTTACTTTAGTCTTCATGTTACTAGGACGGTATTACTATTGTACTTATTTATTCTATTTTAGACTCTAGCATTCTTAAAGTTTCCTTCTCCTTTTGATCCTTTTGCTGCTTTGGAGGACAGTTAAAACTGGGACACCATGAAAATATTGAGTATTTCATCCTACCTAGAATAGTAAACGAGTAGAGTAATTGTGATAGCATCAGGAGTCAAGACTAACACAACTCTCTCTTCATGTGTTGACTGCCTGGCACACAATATAAATTGTCTCTCCTTCCATATATAAATATGAAGCTGCTTATCTAGTTACCACCAGTCCTAAATGAACCTGTGCCTTTAATAAGCAATTTAAAACCTATGAGTATTTCTTTTAAGGCTCACATAAGCACATTGGTTTAAATATACTGTATTCTAGCCAGAATAATATTAGATCTGATCAAGCAGTAGCTATAATTAGAAAAAAAGTGAGTGCTTAAAGAATTTGCATCAGTTTTTTTAAAAAGTTTTAAAATATACTGAGGTCCATATCTAGTGAAATGTCAAAAAATCAATTCTAGCATATAGTCAAAATTCAGATTAGTACTCAATTTGGGGATTTTTAATAGTGGAATTTCATAGTAATATATAAAAAAAGATTGTCTTCCTTGTCTGTTGCTCCCACAACAGATATTTCAACAATTAAAATCATTTTTCCACAGTGCATGTATATGCATATGTATAAGAAAGGAACAAAAACACATGATTTTTTTCCTCAACACATTTATTGACCACTTGGGCAAAGACACTGTGGTAGATAGTGTGGGAAATACACAGGAGAATCAAGCACTGGCCTGGCCTCGAGAGAACTGAAGTCTCTCATTCACCATTCTAGAAAGTTGCCAAATGAGAGGGAGAAAGAAATGTATGAAAATTTGTCAAGCAAATTTTCATTCTGTATTCAGAAAAGCAGAGAATTACATATTTGAAATTGAACTTTTGAAATTGAACTTTTTTGTTACTTTTTTGGGGGACGGGGGGTCTTGGTAAATAGAAATGTAATTAAGTGAAAGCAGCTTTTCTGTTTTGTCTTCAAATTTTATATTGACTTCTATTTTTAATTTAATCCCATTCAATTATTTAATTGTTTCATTGACATTAACTGCTGTATTTGATGACTTTGTTCAATAATTTTGTTCTTTCAGGGCTAGAAATAAACTTTTCTATGTTTATTTTTCCCTTTCCTAAACTTCTTTAAATTAGAATACCTTAAAAGAATAAGTGTAATAGGTTTTCAAGAACATTCCAATATTTTTAAGGATAAATGTTTTTTTAAACATGTCATGGCACCATTTTTAATGTTTTACAAAGTCCAAATGAGAAAGGTTTCTATAATTATGGGTAGTAAGCATGAGCCTTCCCTCTTCTAAACCAGGTTCCGAATAAATTTCTTAGAAATATTCTGGCTATCAGCCCCAGTTAAAATACTTCTAATCTATTAGATACCTCCAGTAACTTGGCCTGAAATTCTAATGCTTACCTGACTGAAGTAAAAGAATCCATACTAGCATTTCTGTGTTAAATGCACCAAGAGAACTTTAAAAGTACAATACTTTAAGATAGCACTTCATTATAGGCATTGAAGTAGGAATGTTCGATACCCTGACATGGAGAACAGCTTCAGTATGGAGACTTCACTACCAAAAACCAAAATTAGCCCTACCTGGGTTGGCCCAGTGGATAGAGTATCAGCCTGCAGACTGAAGGGTCGGGTTCTATTCTGGCCAAGGGCACATGCCTGAGTTGTGAGCTCCATTCCCAGTAGGGGGTGTGCAGGAGGCAGCCAATCAAGGATTCGCATCATTAATGTTTCTAACTCCCTCTCCCTTCCTCTCTGAAATCAATAAAAAATATATTTTTTTAAAAAACAACTAAAATTATACTTTTTTTTTTTAGCATGGAGTAGAGGGTATAGGCAATGACTGCTTAAAATATATTTTTTACATTGTCAAGCTATTCAAGTGCTTTTATATTTGTATTTCTTTATAGCAGATATTTAAAACTTTGCCTACGAAAAGTTCAAACATTCCTGAATGATTGATTTGAAAAGCACTATTTACATGAGCTTAATGCATGTTTTACTACAACTTTAGTATTTGGTATTTTTTTATTTAGGAAATTATTTTTTTATGCTAAATTATTTAACAACTTTTATCTTTGAAAGAGCAGGAAGAGTAGAACAATAAACAGAAAGGTCTTTTTAGGCTTAGTTAGTTTAGGTTTTTAACAAAGTAATGTACATAGATTAAAAATTAATACTAATCCGCCCTGGCTGGTGTGGCTCAGTTGTCTGGGTGCTGCCCCGTGCACCAAAAGGTGGTGGGTTTGATTCCTGGTCAGGTTACCACTTGATCCCTGGTCAGAGGTGTGTAGGAGGCAGCCGATCAATGTTTCACTCTCACATCAGTGTTTCTCTTTTTTCCTCTCCCTCTCTCTAAAAAGCAATAAAAAAAATTGTTTTAATCCTTTAAAAAATGAATACTAATCTTAAAGGACTTGTAATAAACAGTGTTAGTTCCACGCTTTAAACTTCCCCACTGCCAAGTCCTCCGCAGAAGCAGTTCTTTTTAAATTTGAGCTGTTTTTAGCATGCATTAATCTTCACCTTTTAAAAAAAAATTTTATTGATTTCAGAAAGAGGGAGAGAAATAAATAAGAGAAAACTGCCTGCAACCAAAGACATGTACCCTGACTGGGAATCAAACCCTGATCTCCTGATTCATGGGTTGGTGCTCAACCACTGAGCAATATCGACCAGGCAATCTTCACCTTTTTAAGTTATAATACTTATACATGTATTTTTTTAATATATTTTATTGATTTTTTACAGAGAGGAAGGGAGAGGGATAGAGAGTTAGAAACATCGATGAGAGAGAAACATCGATTAGCTGCCTCCTGCACACCCCCTACTAGGGATGTGCCTGCAACCTAGGTACATGCCCTTGACCGGAATCGAACCCGGGACCTTTCAGTCCGCAGGCCGACACTCTATCCACTGAGCCAAACCGGTCAGGGCTACATGTATTTCTTGACATTTCTAAATTTTACTTTAGTTATGACAGTTGAGAATTTGGGTGCTATCATACCATCCCATTCTCCCATTTCTACTCTTTAGTCTCTCATTTGTGAGAGATGGCAATTTTTGTTAATTTCTTTTAAAATATATTTTTATTGATTTCAGAGAGGAAGGGAGAGAGAGAAATATCAATGATGAGAGAGAATCATTGATTGGCTGCCTCCTACACACTCCACATGGGATCAAGCCCTCAACCTGGGCATGTGCCCTGACCTGGAATCAAACTGTGACCTCCTGGTTCATGGATCAATGCTCAACTACTAAGCCACTCTGGGCTGACAAGAGATACGGTCATTTTTAAAAACATATATTTTATTGATTTTTTTACAGAGAGGAAGGGAGAGAGAGAGGGATAGAGTTAGAAACATCAACAAGAGAGAAACATCCATCAGCTGCCTCCTGCACACCTCCTACTGGGGATGTGCCTGCAACCAAGGTACATGCCCTTGACCGGAATCGAACCTGGGACCTTTCAGTCTAGTCTGACGCTCTATCCACTGAGCCAAACCGGTCAGGGCGATATGGTCATTTTTAATTCAATTATAGTTTTTACCTTATGACTATGTAGGTGTTTTGTTCACCATTACATGTCATTTCTTTCACAATTTGCTTTTCTTGTCTTTTTGTTTACTTTGAAAATTTCTATGTTTCTATCACTAAGTTTTCCCAAAATCATCACAAAATTACAAAAGCACTCTGAAGACTATTTTCTAAACAGTCTCAGATAGTGCACCTCCTCCTTTCCTGGAACTTGACTGGGGCTGTAGGCTGGATTGCTGCTCTCCAGGCCTTTTGCCCCTCTGGCATCTGAAACTCAGCTTCACTCTTCTCCTTGAGTCCTTTGTTTCCTGACCACCATCTCTAATTGCTTGGCTTGTTCCCTTATTTTGGAGAAGTACTTCTTTGACTAGCTTTCTGAGAAAGGATACATATAGGTAAGATTTTTAAGAAAATGTTTCATATTTAACCGATACTACAGGATTTTAGGTTGTAAATCATCTTCCTTGAGAATTTTGAAGTTACCACTTCTTTTAACCTGCCATTTCTGATAACATCTTTGTATGTAACCCATTTTTCTGCTTCAGGAGATTTTGTTCTAAGTTTTTACCATGAAGTGCCTTGGTGAAGGTGCATATGTTTTAATTAGCTTTGGGCATTTGGTAGGCTGTCTTAGTCACAGACTCATTTCCTTCAGTTCTGGGCAATTCTTGTATTATTTAATAATCACCACACTCTCCCCCTCAACCCCCCTAGTATTTCTTCCTGGAATTCCAGCATTAATCTTCTGTCTTTCTTATCTTTCTCTCCTGCTTACCATCTCTTTGCCTTTTGTTTTTAATTTTCTGGGAGAATTTCGTTTTTTCTTTTTTTTTTCACCCAGGAAAATCATCTGATTCAGAAACACGGACCAATGGAGTGGAATTTCATCACTACTGAGAGAGTTTTCTTGATTTGACCTCTGATCCTTTTTTTGAACGTATGTCAAGCATCACATTTTTTTTAAATATATCTTTTTATTGATTTCAGAGCGGAAGGGAGAGGGAAAGAGTTAGAAATATCAATGATGAGAGAGAATCATTGATTGGTTGCCTCCTGCACGCCCCCTACTGGAGATCGAGCCTGCAACCCGGGCAAGTGCCCTTGGCAGGAATCGAACCCGGGATCCTTCAGTCCGCAGGCTGACGCTCTGTCCACTGAGCCAAACCGGCCAGGGCAAGCATCACATTTTTAATTTTCAAAAGCTCATTCTTGTTTTCTGATCTTCCTTTTTACAGCCTTCTGTTCGTATTCACAAATTCAGTATCTTTCCTGAGGTATTTATTGTAAGAGTTTTTTCTTGGTTAGTTCAGGCTGCCATAACAAAATACCACAGGCCAAGTCGTTTAATCAACAAATTTATTTCTCATAGTTCAGGGGCTCAAGTCCCAGGTCAAGATGCCAGCAAGGTAGGTTTTATTCTGAAGCATCTTGGTGTGTATAGGCTGCAACCTTGCTGTGTGTTTAGAGGACCCCCTCATTATATGAACACATAGGGAGAGAGCAATCTCTAGTGTCTCCTAAGGATAGTAACCAATTGTGAGGCACCCCCCCCCCCCATGACCTCATCTAATGCTAATTACTGCCCAAAGGCTCCATCTTCAAATCCCAATACAGGACTTCAACATAAAAATTTTGGAAGATGTAAACATTCAAGCCGTAATAGGTCATTTTTTCAAGTGTTTTTTCCCCCAGTCTCAACTTGTATATTTTTTCTTTTGTTTTTAACTCACAAAGATTTTTTTTTACAGATGTCTAATGAATACCCGATTAATGATGTTTCTGTAACAACACTAGTATAGCACTGGCACTGCACTAAAGTACTAACTCATTTACACATTGATTATTTCTCAGTTCTCAGCTGGGCTCTTGATGCTATTCACCAATCATTCATTTTGCTCCTAGGATTTTTTCCCTCCCTTTTTCTCCAGGTTCTCTCTCATGACTCCCAACTCCTTTATTCCACTATCTCAACACCTTCTATCCTATCACCAGAATTCTCTCTTTGCCTCCTTCCTTTTGGTCACAATGGAAGATGTTCATCTCAGCGGCTAACCCCACCAAAGATCTGTTCTCCATCTTTCACCATCTCCCATGTCCTCAGGCCACTCTCATTTACCCAGCTCACCCTTCACACTCTCTCTCAACCTCAGCAAAACAAGCATATCTTCCTTTTAAAACAAATTTCCTCTGAGTTTTCTTAAACTTCTGGAAAGAGGAGAACAGTTACTGTTTTCCTCTTCATTAGCATGTCGTGTCTGTCCTCAACATGTCATTGAAATTACCCTTACCAACATCACCAATATCTGCTGAATTTCCAGGTGATTCTCAAACCATCAAAAAGATGACTCCCTGAACTGCTAGCCAGTGTGCTCACTGGTGTTTTTGAGAATTCCTGAGGTTCTACTTGTTATGAGACTTCATTGTGAAATAGAACCCATTTATTCCTAGCTTTTAAAAAAATTACATGACCAGGCATTTATTTGAGCTAAGGTTCAGAATGTGATGTGTAGGTATAAATTTGGTAAGCTTTTAGTAGGATTCTGCTTTCACCATTGAATACACAATATGCAAGCAACTATTGGAGGGGGAGAGTGGTGACAACAAGGGCAAATTCTTAAAAAGTTCTTCACAGTTTGTAATGTACATTGAATAACAGATTTGCCTTCCTGGTAATTTTGTTTAATCTTGAAGTGTTTTCGTTCTTTGAGCTTGTTAGCATGGAACCCAAAGGAGAAAGGCTTATCTAGGAATGTGCTAAGTATCGGAGAAAGCCAGTTTGGCCTTAAAAAACAAATGTAGATTCTTTTTTTTTTCTTTATTGAGTAAGGTATTACATATGTGTCCTTATCCCCTCATTGTCCCCCCCCACACCCCCAATCATGCCCTCACCCTCACCCCCTGTTGTCTGCGTCCATTGGTTATGCTTATATCAAATGTAGATTCTTGATCAGAAATTGAGTTGATGATTACCTATGTCTTTATAAAGAGATTTTTATCAACTCTATAATCCTGATTATAACAATTTTACTTTTACATCTTTTAGAGAAAGAGACTAAAAAATTATATTTCTAGAAAAATATGTTCAGTAAATAAGTTACATGTAAATATCACTATTTATATATTCATTTTTCTTTAATTCCTCACCTGAGAGTATTTTTCCATTGATTTTCAGAAAAAGTGGGAGAGGGAAAGGCAGAGATAAATATCGATGTGAGAGAAACACATCAATTGGTTGCCTCCTGCACGCGCCCCAACCAGGGCCCAGGCCAGGGAGGAGCCTGCAACTGAGATACATGCCCTTGACTGGAATCGAACCTGAGACCCTTTGGTCTGCAGGTCAACGCTCTACCACCTGAGCCAAACCGACTAGGGCTATATATTCTTTATATATAACTTTGTAACTCAGGGGTTGATTATTTTGAAAGGAACAACACTTATGTGTATATATAATTTCTGTTATACTTGTTAAGAGCTACCTGTCACATTGCCTTATATCAATTCATCCAGTTTGGGTCCTTTAGCAGTTGAAAATATCTTGTTCTAGTTGTGTTGCCTTTTTAAAAAAAAAAAAAAAAACAATCAAAATGGAGTAACAGTACCATATACATCATGAAAGCATTGCCAAAAAATGTTTTTTCTCTTAATGAATTACTTCACTTTGACTTCTATATTTAAAAACAGAAATGTACCATTTTTACAAACTATTTTATCTGAGCCATAAGGTTAAGGAATGTATAACAGTGCAATCTGATTCTGATTGCTTTATTGTCATTCAAATCTTTAAGGAGGTTTTAGTTGAAACTAAAACACATTTTAATCACATTCAATATTCCTTACACTTCAGGATACTTTAAGTTTTTCTGCTAATAACTGTTGAAGAGCTTTGTTTTTCAATAAACTAAAAACACCTCAACCATATGAGTTTCTACAAGACATTGTCACTATTTTGATGGCACTCTTTTTCTTGTCCAAGACGAAGGTGTCCCTGAAAAATAAGTTTAGACCATGGACTGGGAAATATGAATCAGCCACTTTCATATTACTTGCATTGTCAGCCAAGTAAATACTTTCTCACTTTCATCTATGCATATCTTACTACTGATGCACTCGATTGTGTGCCTACTCTGTCCTGTTTTAGTAATGACAAAGTACAGCTGACCCAAGGTATTATCTCATGAGGTTGAGTACTTGAGTTCTTGCTGCACATTTCTTCATCAGTAAGCATTGCCAGAAATTTTTTCCCCTTGGTTTTATATAGTCAGTTTGAACCTGGGGGCTTCTAAATAAAAATAGGCTGTATAATTTAAAATCTTGCTGCCAGTGAGAGGACCAGTTATATTTTCAGTAACCATGCTATTTTAATAGAATGTACTAAAAATTGAAATTGTTACTGTGAATTGGTTATTTTTTGTTTCTTTTGGGGGAGTGATAAAAGAGCCTGCATCAGCCCTAGCTGGCTTGGCTCAGTGGATAGAGCGTCAGCCTGCGGACTGAAGGGTCCCAGGTTTGATTCCAGCCAAGGGCACATGCCTGGACTGCGGGCTCAATCCCCAATAAGGGGCGTGCAGGAGACAGCCAATCAATGATTCTGTCATCATTGATGTTTTTCTCTCTCCCCTCTCCCTTCCTCTCTGAAATCAATAAAGAGATATAAAATAAATAAAAAGAGCCTGCATCATAGGGTAGTTTTTAGGGTCAAATGAATTCATTTCACATAAAATGTTTAGAATGGTGCCTAGTACAGAGTAAAGCATTTGATAAATGTGATCTATCATTGCTTACCTTTTTCGTATACTATACCCATTGGACAGTCCTTTATGATAATGCGGACAGTCCTTTATGGTAATCCAGTAGCAGATGGAGAACTAAGAATGCTGCACAGAGCTATTTGCCCTTTTTCCCACCTCTCATCTTTTAAAAAATGTATTCATAATTTATCTTAAGGAAGTATATTGCAAATACTATATGAAGAAGGCTCCAATACATGCTTGTTCAGTAACATTATGAATTTGCATATTTTATAGTATTGTATATCATACATAACTTGAAATATGAGACACTGTGCATTATAGGTTTGTTTGTTTTTTAATATGGAACTCTTCACGCACCTGTGTATCATCCTTGTGCAGGAACCACGCTAATCTCTATATTGTTCCAACTTCAGTCTATGTGCTGCAGAAGCAAGCAACATTATGGTTTAGTCATTTTCCTGAAGGGGATTTAAAAAGAAAAATATACTTTGGGTATTGGTTTATATATTCAGGGGATGGCAAAAGTAGGTTTATCATTATTATTTCATATCATTTATCTTTTAGGTGATGATGGCTGGTAATTTAACGAACAAAAGTGGGTACTTACACAATACCTAATTTTGCCCACCCCTGTATATTAATAAGTTTGATGTAACTAACAGGTACCCAAAAGAGACTGTAACCAAACGGGACTTATTTAACTCACACAAAAAGGAAGTCAGTGTAGTCAACCTAGGCTTGTATTTTCATTCCATCATTCTTAGCATGTAAGCCTATCTTGATGCCTGTTGCCACAAGATGCAAGATCGCTGCTCCACCTCCATCCTCTTGTCCAGGTGTCAGGCAGAAAGAAGAGAGGATGATTAAAAGGCAAAAAGGAAACGGAATAATGCTTACATCAAGAAAGTAGGAGTTTTCCCAGAAACCCTCAACTTCATTGGTCAGAACTGCCATTTGATGCCTTCCCAGGCAAAAATCAGACTTGTTAGTAAATAAGGGGAAATGTGTGCATAGTCTATTACAGTGGCCACCATAGCTTGCATGTGAAAACTGCACAATCTCAATTTCTATAGCTCTTCCCGTCTTACTCCATTTGTGCTGTTATTACAGAATGCCATATACTGTGTGGCTTATAAACAACAAATTAATTTTTCACGGTATTGAGACTATGAAGGCCAAGATCAAGAAGCTGGTAAGAGAGAGGAACCAAGATGGCGGCATAGGTAAACACCAGAGATTGCTGCCGCAAACAACCACTTCAAAAATACAACTAAAAGCGGAACGGACATCACCCAGAACCACAGGAAAGCTGGCTGCAGAGAGATTCTTCAACTAGAAGGAGAGAGAACAGCATACTGAGGCTCAGAGGAGGCACAGTGTGGAAAATACAAAGGTGCGGAGGTGCGCGCGCAGAGCGGGCTGGTGGCTGAGGGCGCGGTTGTCGTTTTCAATCAGGAGGGAGTCTCAGACTCTGAGCTCCAGATCCAGGCGAGTCTCTAGGGACTCAGACTCAAACAGGAGAAGCGGGATTGTCTGGCATCAGTCGGAACGTGAGGGCAGCTTTCTCTCCGAGGTTTGCAGCGGTTGCTGGGGTTCTGAGAAGCAGAGCCTCTGGGAACGAGACTGAGAGCAGCCATAACTGCTCCCTCCACCCGCCCTGTTGATCCCCTGCGACCCGCCCCGCCCAAGCCCTGCGCAGAGCCATTTGCCGGATAGCCTCAGGCAAAGGCTAGATTAGCACCTCTCCAGAGGACAGAAGTTTTCCCACGGCAAACACAGCTGATTCTCACAGCCAGTCGGCCTGGTGGTCAAATCCCTCTAGTATTAACTACAACAATCAAGGCTTAACTAGAACAAGACTGCGCACAAAGACCACTAGGGGGTGCACCAAGAAAGCATAAAAAATGCGGAGACAAAAAAACATGACAGAAATGGAGGATACAGAGCTAAAAAATGCAATTTTGAGGGCTTTCAATAATGTGCTAGAAGCTGCCGATAAACTTGATGAGAGCCTCAAGAAAACTAATGAGACCCTCGATGTTGTGATAAAGAACCAACTAGAAATTAAGCATTCACTGACTGAAATAAAGAATATTATACAGACACCCAACAGCAGACCAGAGGAGCGCAAGAATCAAGTCAAAGATTTGAAATGCGAAGAAGCAAAAAACACCCAACTGGAAAAGCAAAATGAAAAAAGAATCCGAAAATACGAAGATAGTGTAAGGAGCCTCTGGGACAGCTTCAAGCACACTAATATCAGAATTATAGGGGTGCCAGAAGATGAGAGAGAGCAAGATATTGAAAACCTATTTGAAGAAATAATGACAGAAAACTTCCCCCACCTGGTGAAAGAAATGGACTTACAGGTCCAAGAAGCACAGAGAACCCCAAACAAAAGGAATCCAAAGAGGACCACACCAAGACACATCATAATTAAAATGCCAAGAGCAAAAGACAAAGAGAGACTCTTAAAAGCAGCAAGAGAAAGAAAGTCAATTACCTACAAGGGAGTACCCATACTACTGTCAGCTGATTTCTCAACAGAAACTTTGCAGGCCAGAAGGGAATGGCAAGAAATATTCAAAGTGATGAACGCCAAGAACCTACAACCAAGATTACTTTATCCAGCAAAGCTATCATTCAGAATTGAAGGTCAGATAAAGAGCTTCACAGATAAGGAAAAGCTAAAGGAGTTCATCACCACTAAACCAGTATTATATGAAATGCTGAAAGGTATCCTTTAAGAAAAGGAAGAAGAAGAAAAAGGTAAAGATACAAATTATGAACAACAAACATGCATCTATCAACAAGTGAATCTAAGAATCAAGTGAATAAATAATCTGATGTACAGAATGAACTGGTGATTATAATGAATCAGGGACATAGAAAGGGAAGGGACTGACTATTCTTGGGGGGGAAAGGGGAGTGGGAGATGCGGGAAGAGACTGGACAAAAATCGGGCACCTATGGATGAGGACAGTGGGTGGGGAGTGAGGGCGGAGGGTGGGGCGAGAACTGGGAGGAGGGGAGTTATGGGGGGGGGAAAGAGGAACAAATGTAATCTGAACAATAAAGATTTAATTAAAAATTTAAAAAAAAGAAGCTGGTAAGATTTGGTGTTTGGTGAGGGCTGGCTTCCTGGCTGTAGGCTGCTGTGTTCTTCTCACATGGTGGAAGGGCAAAGGAGCTCTCTAAGGCACCCTCTTGACATAATCATCTCCCAAAGGCCCCCCTCTTCATACTATCACATAGGGGGGTAGGTCTCAATATAGGAATATTGGGGGAGATAAAAACATCTATGGTATCCCCTAATATTTCTACAGGGCTTTCACATCTGTTGTCTCCTTCGATACTGCATCACTGATGGATTAATGTGCTCCTTTTTAGAAGGGAGGAAAAGGGCCAGGGAGGTTAAGTAATTTGCTCAACATTACCCAGCTAGAATTTCAGCCTTTTTCATTACTCAGCTCTTCTGAGTTAACTGGAAACAACTTTCAGTTTTCTAGGCCTGTAGCTGATTTTGAAGGAATGTTTACATAGCTTATGAAAACAAATGCAATTTAAATATAGCTGCAGTGTTGCACATTTAGTAATCCATCAGTGGGAAGAGCCTGCTATAAATACTTGCTGTAGTGATTTAGCTTAATGGGGGAGGCAGCCACCTAGAGCAAGAAAAGAAATGACCCACTTCACCAGAGCAAATGACCTTTCATGGCTTTTCCCAGCCCAAGTTCCCTCTAGAGGACACTGCTGCCACTAATAGTCTGAAAAATCCGGGAGAAGGTGAAAAGTGAAAAAGAAACCCAATTATTGCCACTACCTTGCTATATTCAGGTTTGAACCACCATTCTGTAAGAATTTAGATAAAACAATTTGTTTTGAAATATCTGACCCCTAGCTCTTTTTAAAAAATATATTTTATTGATTTTTTTACAGAGAGGAAGAGAGAGGGATAGAGAGTTAGAAACATCGATGAGAGACACATTGATCAGCTGCTTCCTGCACACCTCCTACTGGGGATGTGCCCACAACCAAGGTACATGCCCTTGACCGGAATCGAACCTGGGACCTTTCAGTCCGCAGGCTGACGCTCTATCCACTGAGCCAAACCGGTTAGGGCTGACCCCTAGCTCTTGAGTCAGACTTGGTGTCAGCAAAGCCACATTCTTATAGAGAGAAAACAAGGTTAGGTATCTTCCTGACTTCCAAGTGCTGCAGAAGGCCCATGTCCCTGTAATCATTTTTATTCTATAAAATTTTCTTCAAGTATACAAGTAATACAAGAATACATTCTCATTTTTTTTAAATTTCAGTAATTCAGATAAAAAGTATTCTCAATCCAAGTCCCTTTCCCAAAAGAAAACTTACCTTTTTCTATTACATCTAGATATTGTTATAAACACCAAGCAGTTCTTGAAAGGTGTATGAAAATAAATGATAATTAAAGCAAGCCACACTGTAGTCAGGTTCACTATTGTTTTTGTCTTCTTTATAGTTAACGCACACCCTTATTGCCTGCACCTGGGGCACAAGGCTCCTAGCACCCAACCCTTGGTATTCCATTGTATCTAGCTCCACTCTATTTATAATCGAGTATGTCCAAAATTGAATTTATTTTCCACCATAAATCAGCTAATGTATTTTCTAGCTGTCAGGATGTTGCATTATATTATTTGTCACTTTCCCCACAATTAGACTGAGGTCTTGCAAGAGAAAGACTACTGGTATGTCTGCATTCCAAAACGTGATAAACCGCGCCAGTGTGCCTCGGTTGG